TATTGAGAAAGTTATATAAAACATTATTTAAATATCTTTATCAATAGGGTAGGGTAGGTTAGGTTAGGTTAGGTTATCGGGTTTTGTTCAAGTGACCACCCTCTTTCGATCCCCTACCTCCACCCGCTTGAAAATAATTTTTTTATTGAATTTTATTTGAATTATAGTGTATGAAAATTGAAAATTGTCAAAATAATCAACTTTCAACCCCCATAACTTTTTATAGGGGTGAGACCGCCGCAAATTTTTTATGGGGTTTTACTCAGGTGACCACCCTCTTTCGATCCCCCCTACCCTCTTTCGATCCCCCTACCCCCACCACCATCTAACCCCCATAACTATTTATGGGGGTAAGACTGCCGCAAATTTTTTATGGGGTTTTACTTAGGTGACTACCCTCTTTCGATCCCCCCTACCCTCTTTCGATCCCCCGTACCTCCACCACCATCTAGCCCCCATAACTTTTTATGGGGGTGAGACCGCCACGAACATTTTATGGTACAGTGGTGGGGGAGACCTCCTCTTTCGATCCCACCCACCCCCACCCCGTTCGGGGGTGGGGGCCATCATCTAGACATTTACCAAAAATTTAAAAATCATTAGGAGCGAGTCAGAGTTGAATCAAGGTGGTGAAACGGCTGACCGTTTTCACCTACCTTGATGCTTTCTCTGCCGTTTTCTACATTTCTCCATAAATAATAAGGTGTAGACCAATATACATAATCTATTTATAGCAATTGTTTTAGTTGTTTTAAATAAATGTAGTTACCTATAAGTGTAAATGTTTTTTAACCTTTTTTAATGTAGATACACATAGATATACATGTACGTATAGATACTATATATATATATTTATATAAAGGTACAATCTTATCTGGGAATTGATATTGGGATAGAAACCTGTTCGGCGAAATGGATTCAGTACTTTAGAAAGTTTGTACAAGTATTGAACCGATATGTTTGTTTTTCGTATTTGTAGTTCGAATTGGAAACGGTTTGAAGTCATCGAGAAATGTGGATTTATTCCGTGTAGGTTCGCGTATAATTTCACTTTGCACATCCAAACTGTGTCACTTAAATGAACTGTAGAAAATAAGGCGAATGACATTCGCTTCGGAGGCGAGGCTGAGCGATTCTTAAAGGAAATGGTGCGGACAAGGCCATTATCCTTACTCACCGTGCAGCTTGCCTACCGAAAGATAAGAAGTAGACATAAATACGAATTCAAATACTTCAATCTCTCCCGAAGCCTCCTTTAAAAACACAACCGAGCGTAAACTTTTCAAGCCTCCTTTAAAAGGACACCGAAGCGTGAACTTCTATTATTTCTTAGATTGTCAAAAATCGATTTTCGGAAATCGTCTCATAAATCATTTTGTTCCTCATTTTCAATGGCGCTCGTCCTTTAATTTCCTCTTCTCAACTCCATGTTTCGTCAGTTGTATTGTTGACGGTTAAAAATTAACTTCGGTATTCCCGTACCTTTTAATACGTCACTGTCCAAAAATATAAAAGTCATAGTACATCATTTAAAATTACGTACAAATATTTTCCTTCCTTTATAATTCGGTATGTTATTTTTATTCGAAATTTGTAGTAGATACCAATTTTATATAGAGGTGTAAATGTGAATTGCAGGAAGCCGGTGATGTGTTTTATGATTAGTGTATCATCGGATCAATTTAGGAAGGCGAAATTTGTAATAAATTATTAGACAGAAGGAAAACTCCTGTCATGCATTTCAAACACACATCCTTTTAGTAATAAATCAACATGGAATAAATACGAAAAGTGTTCTATCGAGTCAATTGGCGCTTTTTTATCAATTTGTATCAGTATCACTTTCAAAGTATATGTACATATATGTCCTGTATATGAAAAGAATTGATAGAAGTGAAACAAATATTAGATGCGGTCCTGGATATGATATCTATCATAACTTAATTTATTACACTCCTGCAAAATAAGAGGAAGGAATGGAGAAAATAAGTTAAGAAAATCATAAATAACAATAGTCGAGGAAACCATATTCAGGACCGTATTTTCTTTATTTCTCAAAAAATGAAGTTTGGAGAAGAATGAAGTTTCTGTTTGTAAGGTCTAGCGCGCACTCCGATTTTGTGTCGGCGCGACCGTAATGTCGTGGTCGCAGAAAGTTGAAACGATGTGCGCACTTGCCACCAAACAATCGTAGTTTTCAGTCGGCTGTAAGATGAGCGTCACAGAAACAACGTTTATATTGGCGTTGTTGTTGTGAATGAGAATTTATAGAAAGAAAAAAGATTTAGCCTACCTATCATAAATCAGAGATCGGTAAAAGGGTATCTTGTTTTTTTTAATTTCGGATATTATTTTTTCCGTATCCAAAACGATGTATGGCGTTTTCTCTTCTTTTGCACCAATGGATTCGTAATGTAGCATCGTGCTACAGATGGCGTTCACTGTGCCGTTTGTAGTATTTTCTGAAACGCACTGTTAACACAACAGGTAAAAGTTGGTCTGTGTTCTGTCGGAGCTGCCTGCGACGCGCTGATGAGATCCAAAAAGATCGAAATCGCGATCCGCGTCTGGCAGTTTCGACAGAATACA